CTCTCTCTCTCTCTCTCTCTCTCTCTCTCTCGCGCTCTCTCTCTCTCTCTCTCTCTCTCTCTCTCTCTCTCTCTCTCTCTCTCTCTCTCTCTCTCTCTCTCCGTCCGCCAGCAAAGCCGTGGCACAGCGCCGGCGCCGCCCGTCAGCAGCGAGCCATTGTACAAGCTCTGCTCCTCAGGCGGCTCGCCCGTCACTGTGAACCGGACGGTTGGCTTCCGGTACGTCGCCCTCGTCACCGGCAACGACACCGACCCCTCCTTCGTCGCGCGGGCGAGCGGGCGCGAGGGGAGCGGCTCGCACGGCGCGCCGCTCACCGTGTCAGCGCGCCGCGAGGAAGGGACGGCTACACCCCACCCGGAGGAGGGTCGGGGTCCTAGGCATGCTCCTCCGCGTCAACGGGGTGGCGCTGTTTGCGCGCGGAGCGAACGCCCTCCCGACCGAGCGAGTGCGAGGGGCGCTGCGAGCCCCGCCCGCACCTTCGTTTAGCCTTGCCGTAGGTCATCCCGACGGACCAGCTCGAGGGGCGCTGGTCGGCGGCGGCGCACGCAGAGATGGTCTCGTCGGCGGCGGCGGCGCGCTTCAACATGCTGCGCGTGTGGGGCGGCGGCGCCTTCCTACCCGACGCGTTTTACGACGCGTGCGACGCACGCGGTTTGCTCGTGTACCACGACATGCAGTACGCCCAGTCGGGCCATTCGCCAAAGGCCACCCCTGCGCGGGAGGCGGAGCTGGGGCGAGCGGTGTGAACGGCGTCTCTTCACGGCGACGGGCGCGAACAGGCGACCGCGACGCAGGAGGCGGAGCTGAGGCACGCGGTGCGCCGCCTCGCGAGCCACCCGTCGATCGCGGTGTGGGACGGGTGCAACGAGTGCCAGGTGGTGATGGGGACGCCCACCGGTGTGTACGCCACATTCGTGATGACCGTGGTGGCGAGCGAGGACGCGTCGCGTGCGGTGTGGCCCTCGTGCCCCGCCGCGGGCTGGAGCAGCGGTGTCTGCACCCCTCCCGCCACCTCCCGCGTCCTCCCGCCCCCTTCCGACCCCTCCCGCCTCCTCCCGCGCCTCCCGCCCCTCGCGACCCTCCCACCCCTCCCGCCCCTCCCGCCCCTCCCGCCCCTCCCGCCCCTCCCGCCCCTCCCGCCCCTCCCCCTCCCGCCCACTGCCCCTCTTGTGCTCGACTGCAGACACGCCCCTCCCGCCCCTCCTCTCCACCAAGGAGCCTGACCCGCCGCCGCCGCCCCCCACCTCTCCCGCCGCCGCCCTCAGGCGTGCGGCTGCTCGACGCGCTCCCAACCGGCCGCCCCCTCGTCACGCCGAAGTCGCGCTCGCGCATCGAGACGCACGGCCCCTACCAGCACGGCAGCGGCTTCGCCGCCGTCAACGGGGCCTCGCGCCTCGCTCTCTTCCCGCCCAACCTGCCGATCAAGCTGCCGGACGCGGCGCCCACCGGCCCGGCGCACCCGAACGTGTTTGCCTCCGAGTTTGGCGCGGTCGCCATGTCCTCTTTCGAGTCGATGGCTCCGACGCTCGCGCCCAAGCACTGGGGCCTCCACGCGGGCCAGCGCAGCGACAACTGCAGCGGCGGCTTCGAGCGGCGGTGCGAGGGGGAGAATGTGATGGCGGAGCGCAACTACCCGTGCGACAACATGATCGAGGTCTACTTTGGACGCGCGCCGGCGGGCTACCTCGACGCCACCGGCGAGGCGGTCTTCCGGCGGCAGCTCTACCAGTGCCTCCTCGCCCAGGCGCGCCGCCGCCCGGACCACCGCGTGCCCGCCAGACGGACTCGCCGGGCCGCGCCGCGTCAGCGCGCGCGCCCGCTGCAGGCGCTCAACGTCAAGTCCAACATCGAGGCGCGCCGCGCGAGGAACGAGCTCGGCATCCTGGTGTGGCAGCTCAACGAGATCTGGCCGACGGGCGGCTGGGGTCGCTCGGCGCAGCGCCGGCACACCTCTTGCCCTCCCCTCCCGCACCCCCCCCCCCCCCTCTCCCGCTTAGGCTCGCTCGAGTACGGCACCCCGGTCGCGGGCCAGGTGCTCGGCGGGCGGTGGAAGCCACTGCACTACCTGTACGCGCGCTCCGTCTTTGCGGACGTGGTCGCGGTGTGCGGCGAGGGCGGCGCCTGCTACGTCAAAAACGACGGGCCGCGCCCCGTCGCCGGCCGCATCGCCGTCCGCGCGCTGGAGTTTGCCAGCGGTGTCGTCACCCCCTTGGCCGCAGTCGCCGTCGCGCTTCCCGCGGGCGCCGGCGCGAGCGCCCGCTTCGAGATTGACCTGAGCGCGTTCGACGGCTCGACGCACCTCCTCATTGCGGAGTGCATCGACGACTCGGGCGCCGTCCTGTCGACCAACGAGATGCTCTTTGCGCCCCCGAGCCAGCTGCAGCTGCCGACGGCGGTGGTGAGCGCCGGCGTCGCCGAGGCCCCCAACGCGGACGGCTCGATCGACGTGGTGGTGAGCGCGAGCGCGACGGCGCTCTACGTCGTCCTGACCAGCCTGGCGCAGGGCCGCTTCAGCGACAACGCCTTTGCGCTCCCGCCGGGGACGGCCACTGTCCGCTTCCTGCCCACCGGCGCGCTCGACCGGTCGCTGCTGGTCTCCTCGCTGCGCGCGGAGCACCTGCAGGCAAACCTGATGCCGGCGCCTGCGGCGCGCCCCTACGAGCGGCCCCGGGCACATCTGGCGGCATGAAAACATCAAAAGAGGGGAAGTGGGGGGTGTGGCGCGTGCTTCACTTAATTTGCTGCGAGGAGAGCCTCGGGCTTTAAAGATTTTTACAAGATAGAGTACAACTCCAACGGCAGCAAGCTCCCTCGCCTTTAAGCTTTATGCTTTAAAGAAAACGCGAAACGGAGAAAGAAACGCTGCTGCTGGACCTGTGGAGCGCATCTAGGCCAAACAACTCGCTAACACTCAGACTCTCACACTCATCACTCTCTCTAGGCCTCGTAAAGAAAGACAGAAGGGGAAAACAGACATCGCGGGGTACGGTCTGGTGCGCGTACGTTGCAGCGCATGGTGGGTTGGTGGAGACAGTTTGAGAGAGTCTTCTTTTCGATAGGGGAGGCTGTTTGTGCGGTTCGGGTCGGTCGGCGTGAACCGAAAGAAAGAAGAACAAAACCGAATGAAAATAAAAATCTCCCCTCGGCAAGGTCGCAGAAACCTCCCTTGTCGAGGCCTTTGGCGCATCTCCGGTTACGTAACTCTCACGCCTCCCCGCGACCGCCTTCTCTTCCTCGATGCTGTGCGCCTCGCTCGCGCTGCTCGCCGTGCACCGCGCTCCTGCGGCGCCACGCTCTCGCGGGGAAGCCAGATCGGCGGTTGTCAGCCCGACTACCCCTGCGCCGCTGCCTCTCGTCGAGCGCTTCTGGAGCAAGGCGGCATATCTCTCTCACCACAGCGAGGTGCTCGGCGACGCCCTCGCCTTTGCCGCCGAGGCGCACGATGGGCAGCGGCGGAGGTCTGGGGAGGCCTTCATCGTGCACCCGATCGAGGTCGCCATCATTCTCGCCGGGTGGCGCATGGACGCTGATGCGATCGTTGCGGGGCTGCTGCACGACACGGTGGAGGACACCGACGTCACCGTCGAGCAGATCGAGGGGCGCTTCGGCGCGGCCGCCGCGTCAATCGTCGCCGGCGTGACAGACGGCGCGGCGGTGCCCGCCTCGCAGAGCCAGCGCGAGCTGCTGCTCGCCATCTCGCGGGACTGGCGCGTGGCGCTTCTCAAGCTCGCCGACCGCACGCACAACATGCGAACGCTGGAGCACATGCCTGCCGCGAAGCAGGCCGCGAAGTCGCGCGAGACGCTGGACCTCTTCGTCCCCCTGGCCCGGCGGTTAGGCGTCGAGGAGATTGAGCGCGAGCTCGACCAGCTGTGCGTCTCGTACCTCGGCGAGGAGCGGCCTGATGGGCCGTCCCTCCTGGACAGCTTGCTCGAGGACGAGCGGATATGCCTCCGCCGCCAGCGGGCCTGCTGGCGCGAGCACCGCGGCGCATGCGCTTCTTCCGTTTGACGGACCATGCTCGTTCGGTTTCTGCCTATGCCATGGACATGGACGGCATGGCGACATTGTGTGTTGTGATGTGTATGTGTATGTGTATGTGTGGCCCGCGGCGGTACGGGAAGAGAGTGGTCCTCTCCCGGCCGTGGTTGCCCCATGTGTGATCGTGTGATTTTTCGCATAGATTAGTTGCATACATTCTTGCTCGTCTTGCCTCTTGGTGGAGTCGCTGCAGCCCGCTCTCTCCGCTCGTCCGCTCTTGGAGGGAGGCTGGGCCAGCGGCTGGGCGCGGGGGGGACGTGGGCTTACACCTCGCTCGTTGGAGCGCCGGCCGCCGGCGCGGCGCGCGCCCGGCGCCGGCGCGCGCGGCGGCGGGGTAGCTCCGCAAGCGCGGTACCGCTACCGGGCTTTACGAAGTAAGGGGGCGCGCACCAAGCTGCAGAACATGTGCGGGCCAGCGCCTATGACGCTCAAGGAGTGAGGCGCGGAGCGCCGCGCGCGGAGCGCGCCCCGAAAAAAATTTTGAGGGTTGTGGAGGGCTAGATGCGATCTCTATTTAGAGTTTGACTCACACGCAGGAACCACTCGGCCCACCCACAGGCCCAGTCTCAAGTGGCAGCGCTCCGCGCCTACCCAGCGGCGCGCTCCGCGCGTGCTTTCCAGCGGCGCGCTCCGGCGCGGTGCTCTGTCTGCGGCAGTACTACTGCATCTTCCGCAGCTCCAGCAGGTATCAGCAGTGAGTTCATCGCCAGTTATCTGCGCCTCCGTTCGTCGCTCTCGTGCTTGATCGTCAGGCCGTGCTCTCACGTCCGCCGGAGCTACCTCGGCTATCGGAACCATTTTACAAGTTTGCCCGCCGACATGTGTTGTCCCGGTCCGGCTCAGTCAATTCAATGTCGCTCGGCGCTCGCTGGCTCCGTGGATGCTTGTGCTGCTGAGCAATCCAGGCGCACCTTGGCAACCGGCGGCAACGACTTGCGGCGTCAGCATTCGAACGGTTGCGTTGATTTGCTCCGCGGTATCTAGCCGGCGCGCTCCGCGCGTGTGTCTAGCTAGCGCGCTCCGCGCGTATGTCCGAGTAGCACCAGCGCGCTCCGCGCGCACCATAATCTCAGTGCCTATGCTTATAGCCACTAAAAGCTCGTTTCTGCAGCTTGGGGCGCGCACTTCTCCCGCCGCAGTTTGGCGGTTTGGCCCCTGCGCCCTGGCCGCTCGTGCTGGAGTAATGGAGAAGTCTGTCCGCGCCTAAGGATTCTGCCATTCCTATTCTGCTCTACTACACAAGGATTCTTGCTATTCTACCTCTCACTAGATTCCCCTTCCCAGGTTCCTCTTCTGCTCAGATATTCTGATTCTCTCCCCAGACTCTCCCATCTTGGCCCCGCTTTCAGCTTCCTGATTCTCCATTCTCGTTTCCTCCGCTTCCTTTCCGATTCTCTAGGGCAGCCAGAGCCAATTCCTGATTCTGCTCCCCCCTCCCGATTCTCCTGTCTCTCTTCCTATTCTTGATGCTCCATTTGATTCCTGATTCCTGATTCCTGATTTGTCGGATCGCCCACATTTTGACCGGGATTCTGATTCCTGATTCCTGATTCCTGATTCCTGATTCCAACATTTTGACCGGGATTCTGATTCCTGATTCCTGATTCCTGATTCCTGATTCCTCGGAGTTACGCATTTCGGCGGGATCCTATGTTGGCCTGACTCTCCGAACTCCTGAGCCGATATTGCGTGTGCGCGGGGCTTCACACAGCTCACTCAAACTTCGCCCGCGGGGCAGCATGCTCAGGCGCGGGTCTCTCTGGCGCTCCAGCCTCACGTCAGCGCACTCAGCGCTTAGGCCTCGGTCCGGCGTCCGCAAAGGCGCAGTGTGTGGTGCGGGCTCTGCCCGCCCCCCCGAGGAGAGGGGGGGGGGCGCTCCCGCGCGGGGGGGAGCCGAGCGAAGCTCGGCTCGGGTTCAAACTAACCCTCCCCCTTTTCCCTTTTTCTAAAACTGCTCGCCGCGAGCGGCTCGCTTCTAAAACGAGCTCGCCGCGGCTGTCGCCGCGTCTCGCCTGTCTAGGCGTCGTGATGCGTGTGTGCTTTTGAGCTGGGCGTATAAGAAGAAGAAATTGAAGCACTCCTCCCATTGACTTAGTACGAGCACCGAGACACGAGACAGCAGCCTACCCGTTCTACACCCACACCGCCGCGGAGCTGCCTAGCTGGCGGGTGCATTCACAGCGAGCCCGCGGGCTTGGAGACCCAATCAGACAGCACTCCCCACAGCAAAAGAGCAGACGTGCCGCTGTGAGCATCGCTGAGCAGCACCAACGACCGCTTGCGGGGTCGCCGCAGGCCGGCGCCAAGCTGCATCTGACGCCGGCATGCCGTTCAAACCCCGGCACCAAGCGCCCGCGGGAATGGGAGACCGCCTGCCCAGAATTAAGATCGGCCGCGCACTGCTCTGGCTCCACCATGCCACCGCCCATGAGATCTCTGACGCACGTGTGATGAGCCGCCGTTCAAAAGTGACTGTACTGTGCGGAGCGCGGAGCGCACTTCGATGGCAAAGTGGGTGGCGCGGAGGATACGGCGCGTACACATGAGCGTGATTGGTTGAGTGAGCATGCCCAGATGGCCGGCCGGCCGGGCTACCGCCCCTCGACGGGCAAAAACAGGAATCAGGAAACGAGAGTCCGGCCGGGTTGCCAAGAAATCGGGGCACAGGAAAAGCAGAAACCGCAACCGCGCGACAGAATCTGATAAGGCGAGAATCGGACGGACAGAATCAGATCGAGTAGGCAGAAACGGAAGCTGGGTGAGGAATCCTGCCCGGAGGCTGAGTGCGTGGAAAGGGGACGGGCAGAATCAGATCGAGTAGGAAGAACCGGAAAAGGAGAGTGAGAATCAGAAGAAACGGACACGAATCCCTCTCGAGCCTCCGCATACAGAATCCTGTCTTGGGTGGCAGAATCGCTAGTGCAGAATCCTCAGGCGTGGACAGGGTTCTCCAAGACTGTCGTGCTGGCGCCGGGCCGCCGGCACTATAGCGCCGGCGCCGGGTTTGTTATCATGGAAAACGTCCCGCGTGCATGTGCATGTGCATGTGCATGTGCATGTGCATGTGTGTTTTGTGGGGGTTCACCCTCTCGCTCTCGCGCACAGTCGGCACACCGACGGGCCCGGACACAGCGGGTGGAGACAGTGCTCAGCGGACAGCTCAGGCCCCACACACCCACGAGGCGCCACAGTAGCGGGAGGGCCCCCGGGCGCCCTCTACATTCGCCCTCTCGGACTGCGCAGACTGGCATGTGGCAACCCCGCCGGTGCACCGGGAGTCCCCGGCCTGCGTGCCGGAGGCCCCGACGTCAGACTCGCCCGCCGTTGCATTCCACAGTACGTACGGCTCTCGTCAGAGCCCCCCCGCCCCCCGAGACCGCAGAGGGAGGTGCCCCGCCCCGGGGCGTACGATGAGGTCCGCGACCGATTTGGCGACAAAGTCTGCCTGATCATTCGGGTAGTACCGCTGCTGGGCGATCGCGTGGCAGCCCGACTCCACCAGACACGTCCGCGTGCCCGCCAGGACACCCGCGCGCACGTCAGTGTCGAAGCGGTCTCCGACCATCACAATCTTGTCGCGTTGACCGCTGTGCCCTTGCCGCTCGAGCTTGGCGATCGCGGCGTCCATCATGTAGGCGTTGCCGCGGTTGCCGCCCTTGCCGCAGACATGGATGTTGCGCGAGTGCACGGGGTACATGAGCGTCCGGAACATGGCAGATATCATGCCTGGGCCGGGGAGCGGCCACCCGTCCGGCCGCACATTGAAGCTATCCTCTGCCGTGCAGATGAAGGCGGCGCCGTGCGACAAGAGGTAGCCCGCTTTTTTGATCACGTCGAACGACCAGTCAGCGAACCCGAGCTCCCCCGTGATCGGGTCGGGCACGCTGCTAATCGACCCGTCCGAGAAGAGCACGACTGCGACGGCGTGGTCCGAGTCGCTGCAGGCGGCGAGCTCGCCCCACTCCTTGGCCACGCCCTCGGAAAGGTGCGTGTGGACATCCCAGGAGGCGACCAGCTCGCTGTCGAGCTCGCGCAAAATCTCCATCCAGAAGCTAGAGTCTGCCGTCTCGGCATTGCCGCCCGCAAAGACAAAGACCTTTGCGCCCCGGGGCAGGTTGTCTACCATGTACTGGCACTGCGCCTGTGCGGCCGTGAAGATGTGCTCCCCTCCGACGAGCTCCCCGTCGCTCGTTATGCCGTTGGCCTTGAGCTTCTGCTGCACTCCGCTCGCTCCCTTTGCGCCCGTGTTTGAGCAAAACACGTAGGGGATGCCCTCCTCGCGCAGGTAGGCGTGGAAGTCGACGGCTCCGTCAATCATCCCGCTCGGAGTGTACATGGTGCCTGCACGGGACGCGGCGAATACGTGGCGTCTGTATCTGGCGTTGAGAGCACACGTTGCGCGTCTTGACTGCTCGCTCTGTAAGAGAGAAGGGGGCGTGGGTGGGCGAGTGCCGTCGAGATCGAGAAGGAAGCCCCTGATCTCCGAGAGCGTGAGCGAGAAAGTGTTGCCCTCGTGCACCCGCAGTATTCGCCCTCCGCACTGGTCTGTGGGCGCGCCGACCCGTATGTCGTACAGGTGCTCGACGACGTGTGCCTCGCCGCCCACCGCCGGTCGCGTGCCGGGCGGACGATTCGATGAGAACCTCCGGCCAGGCGTGCGGGGCGATGACAATCTCTCGACGGCGCTGCGTAAGGCGGCTCGGCCGCGCAGCGCGCGCATACACACAGGCACCGAACCCGGAAAGGCGTATGCAGACGAGGGCTGCCCCGGACCGATTTACGCCCCGGCGGGGATGGATTTGCGGGTTTCCCCGTGCCGCGAGACTTGGGCGGTATCTCCCGCGATGTGTCGCGGACAAACCCAAGTAGACGCCCCTTGGGCGGGATCGCGTCTTACTTACACAAGAGGAACTATAACACATCGCTAGTCATGTACAATCATGAGAACTGGGTCCAGGCCCCATAGTGAGGTGGTCTCCCAGTCTAGCGCACCTCGCGCCCGGCGGGCGGCGACCTGTCCGTCCACCGACCCCTCCGCCCGCGCGTGCCAACGCCGCCTCCACCGCCGAGTCGAAGAGCCGATGTAGACCCGTCGTCCGTCCACCGTGTGGTACGCCGCGAAGCGGCCCGACGCCCAGGGAAGTCGGCAGCCGCGCGAGCCCGACGCCTGCTCCTGCTTGCGCACGCCTGCGTAGCCGGTGCTGCTGCGACTCGAGAGGTGCAGCCGCCAGCCCTGCGCCTCTGTCACCACCGCCGGCGCCTCCCCCGCGGGGCCCATGTGGGATGGACCTGCGAAAGCGCGGGGAAGGGAGAGTGCATTCAGAAGGCAGAACCTGAGCACAAGTGGGGGGCTTGCTCGCGAGCCTTGACTTGCATCGACTTGATTACAACGCGGAGCCATCGCGGGTAGCCAGAGGCGGCGGACCGATCAGCATGGGCGGCGTGTCATTCTGCAGTCGATCGCCGCCGAGCGGCATAGCGGCGCCGTCGCGGGTAACCAAAGGCGGCGGGACGGCGGGAGAGGGCGGTGGTGCGGGCGGTGATGCTGATGATGTGGCCATTGGCCGCCGCCGCGTCCTCTTTGCGAGCGCTCTCGACTTCCGTCCCTTTTTACGCTTGTCCCCCCCCTTGCTCGTGTGTCTGACTTTTCGCCGGGTCAGGCCACTTGCTGTCGGCCGTCTACTTGGGTTTGTCCAGCGAAGGGACGACCGACTCGTGTCCGTTTCCGAAGGGTGCCAACAGCGGCTCTCTAGGACTCGCCTGACAAACAAAGGACGGAAGAAACTCGCACCGATGTAGCGATTTGAGTTGGGCCCTCGGGGAGGCCTGCGGGCGGCCTTCTCTCGAGGTCTCGAGATACACAAAGCGGCCAACTTAGTCTGTTGTGTATCGCTGGAGCTCCCAGCTCGGAACATGTGCATGCAGGTAGGTAGGTAGGAAGGTGAAGAACAGCCAGGCTGGATGCAGGAACATGAAGAAAGAAAGAAAACACACAACCCAAGGGAACATGTACATATGTGCATGCGGGGCGGGGGATTTTTTGGTCGAGGAGATTGCCGCGCAAGATTGCCGCGCACACGCAACGACTAGCGACGCGCCGGAGACCACACACATGCGCGGACACTCCTCGCCGCTGCGTGCCTCCGCGCTTCTCGGCAGCGAGCCTCTCGCCCTCGACCTTCTCCCGGCGAGCCTTGGCGAGGTTGAGGCGAGCTTCGGCGAGGTTGAGGGCCAGCAGTCGCCCTTCCGGCGCGGCTCCACCGTGGTGGCGGCGGCGGCGGCGCTCTTCAAGGCCGTGATCGGCGCTGGCATCTTCGCGTTTCCGCCCGCCGTTCGTGCGTGCGGGCTGGTCCTCGGCTCTTGCTTCGCCTTTGCTATCGGCCTCATCTCGCTCTTCGTCACTTGGGCGACCATTGAGGCGGTGCGAGAGCTCCGCCGGCGAGGGATGAAGGCGGCCTCGAACGGGCGGATCGAGTACGTAGAGATGACGCACATCTACTCGCCGCGCGCCAACGGAGCCATCACCGCGCTCACCATGTGGGGGCAGTACTCGTCGGTGCTCGGGTGACTCCACTTCGCCAAGCGCGGCTGCTCGCCCGTTCATCGTGTCTCTTCACACCGGGCGGGACTGAACAGGTACTTTATCTTTGTGCACGAGACGCTCGCGCCGCTGCTGCCGCTGCCGAGTCAGGCGGTCTTTGCGCTCATCGGCGGCGCCGTCTGCCCGCTCGTCCTGCTGCGCAAGACCTCGCACCCCGCCTTTGAGGCGGCGATGGCCTTTGGCAACGTGGCGGTCGCGCTCGCGCTCGGCACGATCGTCTTTTACGGGCTCGTTCAGGCGCCGGAGCGGCCGCCGCTGGACGAGCTGCGGCTGGCGGACCCTTCCGGGCTCGGCCTCATGTTTGGGGTGAGCCTGCTCATGTTCTCGTGCCACCTCGAGGCGGTCACGATCGAGCAGGACATGGCGCGGCGCGGCGCGTTCGACCGGATGCTCGTGTGGAGCTTCGTCGTCCTGGCGGCTCTCTTCCTCGGCTTCGGCGCCTGCGTCTACCTCTCGTTTGGAGAGGCGACCGGCCGGGTGCGGGCGGCGGGCGGCGGCTGGGCCGAGGCGACGGTGATGCAGAACCTGCCCGAGGGCGGCTTCCTGACGGCGGTCAAGCTGCTGATGAGCCTCAACCTGCTGCTCATGACGCCAATCACGATGCTGCCCGCCAGCCGCGCCATCGAGGCACCCCTCCGCCTCTCCGCCCGCCCGCTCGCCCGCAGCGCCCTCCGCGTCGCCGTCCTCGCCGGCATCACCGCCGCGGCGGCCGTGGTGCCCGATTTCGAGACTGTGGTCGGCCTCACGGGCAGCCTGGGCGGGCTGACCGCCTTCACGCTCCCGGCGCTCCTCTTTGGGCACTTTTGCGGCGCGGACCACCCGCTCGGCCGCGCCCTGGCGAGCGGCGTGGCGGCCTTTGGGGCGCTTGGGACGGCCTGGAGTTTCTGGCAGATCTGCTTCCCGGCGGCGGAGACGAGCTGAGCAGCTTCGTATTTCTCTCTCTCTCCCCCCCCCCCCCAGCCAGCCCCCTCAAATTCCTCCTCGCCTCCTTCAAAGAGAAAGAAAACGCGACCCTCTGCAAACTAATAAGAGTAAAGAGAAGGCCTGCAGCCTTCTTTTTAGCGCCCAGGCACAATTTTCCAAAAGAAAGAAAAGAGACACCCAAGGGACAATTTCCCCGAAAGAAAACAGATAACCCGAGGCAATTGCCGTAATTCTTTTCCTTCGCTTCACGCGGCGGCGCTGCGGTGAGCTCGATTTCGATGGATGAGGCGGTGAGATTGGCCGTCGACGGCGGCAAGGTGATCGAGGACTCGCAGGAGTTCGCCGCCGCCAACGGGTTTGCCCACGCCGAGCTCGTCGGCCTGTGCAAGAGCCTCGCGACTGGCGGCTTCATCACGACCGAGGCCACCTCGAGGCGCGCGGCGGCCGCCACGCACGCATACGCGCGGCGCAGGCGCCGAGGTGCATCCGCCGCCCACCCTGCGCGCGCAGGCAGTCGCTGCAGCTCACCAAGGAGGGCGAGCTGGTCGTGACGAGCGGCAGCCCCGAAGCGGTCGTCTTTGGCTGTGTGCCCGCCGAGGGTGGGATCGCGTCTGAGGAGCTGGACCAGCGGGCCGGGGCGGCCGCAAAGGTGGGCCTCTCCAAGGCCATCCAGAACAAGTGGCTGCAGGTGGTCAAGCAGCCGCTTTCTGCCGACGAGCTCGCGGCAGCCGAGGCGGCGGCCGCCGCCGCCGGCAAGAAGAAGGCGGCGACGGACCGCAAGCTTGTGCAGCGGCTGGTCGGGTCGGTGGAGGACGCGGTGCAGGCGCAGCTGCGGGCGGCCAAGGGCGGCTCGCCGCCGCCCGACGCGGAGCTCGCCGTCCTCAAGAAGCGCGGGCTGCTGGCGGTGGCGACTGTCAAGGCGCTGCGTGTGGCGGCGGGGCCGCAGCACGGCAACTGGGGGCGGAAGCCGGCGTCGGACCTCACGCACGAGATGGTGCTGCGCGGCACGTGGCGCGACGCCCTCTTCAAGCCCGTCAACGTGGACGCGGCGGGCGTGGCGCCCGCGGGCGGCGCGCTCCACCCGCTGCTCAAGGTGTGGAGCTCTGTGAGAGCGCGCGGCGGCGGCGAGACCGACGGCCCCCCCGCCCCCCGACCCTCCGCCCCCGGCCCTCTACCTTGCCTCCCGCGCCCCATCCCCTCCCCGCCCGCGAGGTGCGCTCCATGTTCCGCGAGATCTTCCTCGAGATGGGCTTCGCCGAGATGCCGACGCAGCAGTACGTCGAGTCCTCCTTTTGGAACTTTGACGCGCTCTACCAGCCGCAGCAGCACCCGGCGCGCGACGCGCACGACACCTTCTTCATCAAGACGCCGGCCCAGACGCGCGAACTGCCCGCCGACTACATGGAGCGCGTGCGCGCCACCCACGAGGCTCGGCGGCGAGGGGCGTGGCGGGGCCGCCGGCGGAGCCTCGCCCGCACCGTCCCGGAGCCTGCCTGCAGGTGGGCGGCGAGGGGCTGAGCGACGAGTTCAACTCCCGCTCGACCGGGTGGCGGTACGACTGGTCCGAGGACGAGGCGCGCAAGAACCTCCTCCGCACCCACACCACCGCCGCCTCCTCCCGCACCCTCTACCAGATTGCGCAGCTCGCAAAGGCCAACGGCGGCGCCTTCCAGCCGCAAAAGTACTTTTCCATCGACCGCGTCTTCCGGAACGAGGTGCGCCGTGCGAGCGCCGCGCCCGCCTCCCCCGTCTCCACACTCGCCGCGCCCGCCCTCCCGCCCTCCCACGCCAGCGCACGCCCCGTCCCACCACGCACACCCTCGCCCCACCCTCCACCCTCTCCCAAGCCCCGCCCCGCCCCTCACCCGCCCCGCCCCGCCCCGCCCCCCGCTCCCCCACGCCACCCCCTCTCCGCGCCCCCGCTCTTCCCGCAGGCGCTCGACGCGACGCACCTCGCCGAGTTCCACCAGGTCGAGGGCTTCGTCATCGACCGCAACCTCTCGCTCGGCCGCCCGACGCCGGACCGGCCGCCCCCCCGCCTCGGCCCTTGCTCGCTCACGCGCCTGTGAGGTCGCCCGGTAGGCAACCTGATGGGGACGATCGCAGACTTTTACCGGCGGCTCGGCCCCGAGTTCAAGCACATGAAGTTCAAGCCCACGTACAACCCGTACACCGAGCCCTCGATGGAGTTCCACTGCTACCACGAGGGGCTCGGCAAGTGGGTCGAGGTTGGCGACTCGCGGACTTCCGGCCCTCCTCTGGGACCCTCCCCCTCCACAAGCATTGCCCGGGCCCTGCTGTCAGGTGGGCAACAGTGGCGTCTTCCGGCCAGAGATGCTGCGCCCGATGGGCTTCGACGAGGACGTGCAGGTGATCGCGTGGGGCATGTCGCTCGAGCGGCCCACCATGATCAAGTACGGCTACGACAACATCCGCGACCTCTTTGGCCACCGGATCGACCTCGGCATGGTGCGCAAGCACCCAATCGTGCGCTGGACCTGAGTGGCCGCCGCGCGGCGCGCTCTCGTCCGCTCTGCGCGCGCGGCCGGCGCCGCGCGCCGCACACGGGTGTGTGCAGTGCAACAGTGGACAGCACTGCCGCCTCCGGCCTCCGGGTCCGCGGTGTGTGATGAGAGAGCGGGGCTGCAGAGTGTCTGCTTTCGTTGTCAGAGTCCCCGCTGTCGACGCTTGTGTTTTTATAAGCCGCCTGAGGTGCTGCCTCCATCCCATGGAGGGCGCGAATACGAGGGTCACGCTCGGCTCGCTTCTTTGCTGCTTTTTGAAACGCTTGATTTGAGACCGCGACGCTCAAATGCAACCACACACCGACGGACACAAAACGAGGCTCCGAGCGGCCCGATGCACGCCAGAGTACGCACACTGTCAGGGAGAGAGTCGGCGACTCGCAGAGGCACCCGCATCCCAGGGCACCGGAGGCTGCAGAGCGAGAGCGAGAGCGCCGTTCAAGCGGCGGCGCTTCGGCACCGGAGGCGCGCCGCCGGCGGTGCGCCGCGGCGACGGCGCTGCGGCGGGTCGTGCAGCGCCGGACGGCGGGGGTCTCGCGTGCGCCGGGCGCGCGTCTCGCCGGAGCGCGAGGGCGGGACTCCACACTCCACGCTGCGGAGGAGGCACGCTTGAACATCGTTCGGAAAAGCGGAGGCTGGTCCGTCGCCGGCGCGGGAACTGGGCGCCGGCGGGAGGTTGGCGGGAGCGGAGGTATTGGTTGTTTGGCGCGAGGTTTTCTTTTCCGAGCTGCGAGGCATTCGAAAGGGCAGCAGCTCGCAGCCAGTTGAGCCTCGGCAGCTTTTTAGCCTCGCCCGAGAGGCCCCGAATGGACTGCAACGCGTGCGAGTTCTGCCTCGACAAGAAGAAGAACGGCGGCCCCGGCCTCAAGCGCAAGGCGTGCCTGTACAAGCAGCGCGGCGGCGGCCCCGCCGCTGGCGGCAGTCAGAGCGCCGACGGCGCAGGCGCCCAGCAGCCTGCGGAGGCTGCGCCGGCGCGCGCGC